CCTGCAGAGAGCTGGGACCAAAGTAACAAAGGCTGCCATCAGTAACACACTACGCCGCCAGGGACTCAAATCCTGCAGTGCCAGACGCGTCCCCCTGCTTAAGCCAGTACATGTCCAGGCCCGTCTGAAGTTTGCTAGAGAGCATTTAGATGATCCAGAAGAGGATTGGGAGAATGTCATATGGTCAGATGAAACCAAAATAGAACTTTTTGGTAAAAACTCAACAAGACCTGTTTGGAGGAAAAAGAATGCTGAGTTTCATCCAAAGAACACCATACTGCAAAGGGACCAGGACGACTGACCCGTGTAAAGGAAAGAATGAATGGGGCCATGTATCGTGAGATTTTGAGTGACAACCTCCTTCCATCAGCAAGGGCATTGAAGATGAAACGTGGCTCGGTCTTTCAGCATGACAATGATCCCAAACATACCGCCCGGGCAACGAAGGAGTGGCTTCGTAAGAAGCATTTCAAGGTCCTGGAGTGGCCTAGCCAGTCTCCAGATCTCAACCCCATAGAAAATCTTTGGAGGGAGTTGAAAGTCCGTGTTGCCCAGCGACAGCCCCAAAACATCACTGCTCTAGAGGAGATATGCATGGAGGAATGGGCCAAAATACCAGCAACAGTGTGTGAAAACCTTGTGAAGACTTACAGAAAACGTTTGACCTCTGTCATTGCCAACAAAGGGTATATAACAAAGTATTGAGATGAACTTTTGTAGGTGACCAAATACTTATTTTCCACCATAATTTGCAAATAAATTCTTTAAAAATCAGACAATGTGATTTTCTGGATTTTATTTTTCTTCTCATTTTGTCTCTCATAGTTGAAGTGTACCTAGGATGAAAATTACAGGCCTCTCTCATCTTTTTAAGTGGGAGAACTTGCACAATTGGTGGCTGACTAAATACTTTTTTGCCCCACTGTATATGAAAATCCACGAGTCGTACAAAGATTCATCCTCAACTTTTGACCTACAATTCCGGTTAATTAACTTTGCCTGCGTTTCTATGTCAGGTAAAGAAAACACAAGCGAAAGAAGCTGCGTCCGAGCAACTCCTACCGAGAGCTCGTACCAAAACTAACGCAAGCTGCCAGCCCACGCCTTCCCCCGCTCAGGAGGGGAATGCTGATTTGGGAAAAACAAACTCCACTGGGAGCAAAAGAGGAAGGCAAGTCAAACGGTGCTCCCGAAAGCAGCGTGCAGTTCCAGCTGTGAGGCCAGCAGAGGGCAGCAGCACCAAGGAGCAGGAACAAACAAAGTAAGCACGTATGAAGTATGTCCTGTTTGCTACATAATAGGCCCCAGAAGCAGGTTTATGTGAGGATTGGGTTTAAAACTGCTATCCACCATTTGCAGATAGGTGCTTTTGAGCTTTAGTGCACACACCTTGGCTTGGTATCATCACAACCCAATTATCTTGGCCAAAATGATTTAGGATAATGATATCATAGCAATATATGAACTTAAATTAATTGCACTCATGTTTGTGTGTGTGTGGTGTTGGGTGAGGGTGATAAAGAAACAGAAATCAACAGGTGCTTGATTGATTACCATAACATTATCACTTTTTATTATTAACATTTCAGTGTTTTATTTTTTATAATTAGAAAGTGACAGTCTATACACTCATGTGTGATAAAAGGTTATTTATTGTTGTTTATTTGTAATGCTGAACTGTGTAAAAGCGGAATTTAACCCTTTAGCTAACAAGAAAATATGGATTGAAAAGGGCTATAATGTTATTGCAGCTGTTCACATTTTCAAAAGTGTGTATCTCATTTGATGTTCTTTCCATCTGTCACTGAGCAGACAGATGAAAGAGGGTCTTCAGGGAGCGACAGTCCAAGGTCAAGACAGAAGCAGTGCCCCTGTTCAAAAGAGGCCTGTTAGACCCATCCTTCCTGCCTTCTGTAACACAGGTAAGATAAAACATACCACACTAAGGCTGTATCTTTGTGTGTTGAATCAGGTTTTAACATTTAGATGTTCATATTGTCTTGTGTTTCCAGGCCAGGCTTTGTTCCAGATCATGACCGTCCCGCCTGACAAAGAGAGTGCAAACAACAATAAATCATCCTCTGGTACTGTGGCTCATTTGATTATGTTTGTAACAGCATATACTTGACATAATACATGTTTGGGGTTTGGATACAGCTTATGTTCAATCAGTGCTTGTTATTAGCATGTATTTTTATCATACACATCAAAAATTGATATGCATTTAAAAATGACTGCACTTTCTGAGGTCTCTGCTCTTAGCTGATGTGGTCTTTGTCCAACCACAGGGCCTCGAGAGGGTTTCTCAGGTCTCAAACCCAACACTTTGAAGCAGCTCGGCCAGACAGTCCCGACACACACACACACACACACACACACACACACACACACACACACACACACTGAGAAACATCCACATAAATGCAACAGAAAAATATGCAGATTAGGTCCATTATCCCCACTTTCTTTATGTCTTTCTATAGGATTCTTCTGTCCCAGCAGATGGAAGCCAGGCTATGTGTTCATTGGTTGATGGAAGAATGAACTTCCTGTCTTTCCTGCCTTTCAAACACTTAGTGTCTAACTTGGTCAGTTTTTTTTCTCTTTTTTTCCCCTCTTTTTTCTATGCCTTTTTTGTCACTTACAATAAATGTTGTTTCATATTTTCCTTGATTTGTAGGTAAATCTTGCTGTTTTTTTAAATTCTTTTAGGATTTGGGACTCTCTACGTCACGAGGAAGGGGTCGGTGTAAGAACCCGTCCTGTGACTATATGTATAAGAACCGACACAAACCCGCAGTGTGCCCTAAGTGCGGCTGTGAGCTGACCCAGAAGAACGCCAAGGGAGCAAAGGTGAAAGCTTACTTCCTTCAGAAACTTCTCAACAACTTTCCAGCTGAATCCAGAACCCTTCAACGTCGTTATGTTTCTCTTTCTCATTGTTTAAGCAGATTTTTCATATCAATACTCTTGTATTTCATCGTAATGTGGATTTGTTCTCCCACTCCCTCAGTCTGAGAGCCTGCTCGATCCGTACCAGGCCCTCAGTCCTGCTCAGACGGACGTCCAGCGCCAAAACACCCTGCAGTTACTGCACCGATCCCTGCAGATTCCTGAGAGCGAGACTGAGCTTCAGGAAACGTTGAACCTCATCCAGGAGCTCAACAGTCTTCAGATCGTCTTGGTTCAACCGAGTGTCCAGGAGCACGAGGGCAGCGCGGAGACGGAGACGCTGGTGGAGTCCGGGTGGCCTCAGTTCTACGAATCAGAAGCTACTCACTGTGGCCTGTGTCACTACCCTCTCTTTAAAGGAGGTCAGAGGTCAGAGGATTGCTGTATTCTTACTGTCCTGTTTCAGTATCGGTACGTTGTGTCGATGTCCTGTTCTCTAATGCATCCCTATGTGTGTGCTGTTCCACGGCAGTACTGTGGCAGGACAGGAGGACTGCTTGCTGCTCACTGAGACTCTGATCCAGACGGTCACTCTTCAGCTCAAGGTGTGTCTCAACGTCCAGTGTCTGGCTCTGCACAGCTTCACCGACCTGCATCCAGGTAAACCCCACTACCTACCACAACTTGTACATAGTTATCAAACACAACAGATCGAATTATGTGTGTACTTTTGGGAATTATGGATATCTCTTTTACATTACATGTTACTTGTTGGACGCTTTTATCCAAAGCTACGAGAAATCTCTTCTCGTAGTTTCCAAAAAACACACTGATTGTTTCAAGGTGAAGGCTTCTGTATGTGAAGAGGAACTTTCTGTTGCTTAGTACAAGACTCAATTAGTATTGGCTGCAGCTTAGAAAGGTTTAGTTGTATTTGTTTGCTAAAGACCACAGCTACACACAACAATACTTCTCTTTGGAAGTTTTCCCTTGTACGATGTGAGGGTCTAAGGACAGAGGGTGTCGTATTGTCATACTGATATTCTGTACAAACTCTGAAGTCCACTGAGACAAATGTAACATTTGTGATATTGGGCTATATAAATAAACATTGATTGATTGATTGATCATGTAGAAAAGTATTAGCATTAAAATATACTTAAAGCACCAAAAGTAAAAGTACACATTATGCAGATTGGTGCATTTCAGAATAATATATATTATGTTTTGC